CTCTCTCTCTCTCTCTCTCTCTCTCTCTCTCTCTCTCTCTCTCTCTCTCTCTCTCTCTCTCTCTCTCTCTCTCTCTCTCTCTCTCTCTCTCTCTCTCTCTCTCTCTCTCCCTCTTTCTCTCTCGAGACAGACGTGTGTTACATCGCTCCGTGAAAATCATCGTTTTTACGGTGATCCGAGAGGGTGGAGGGGAACAAGAGTTTCTACAGTGGTGGTAGTATCGACTATAAATATTTGTATGCGTTATCTAGTCAGAATGTGTTGAATAGTCCAAGAAAGGTAAGAATTTATGTGACATTCTGATGCTGAAAAGAGGTGTCAATTAAAGTGCCGACGTGGATTATTCGGCGACCGCGGACACTAAGGTAACTAATTAGTGGAACGCGTGATTTATCGACTTTGAGGAAAACAGTCGGTAATGAGGACATGCTTGAATCTGATTATGTAGAGTATCATTGCTGTGCATGTAAGAAGGAAATAAAAAACATTGTGCTGCAGTGTACGGCCTGTGTGAAATTCTTCTTTCATCCGGGATGCGCTTTCAAGCATAAAGTATATAATAAGCAGGATGAATTAGTAAAATGCGAAGGACCATTTAAAGAAATCATTGGCGACAGTGAAAAGACAGAAATGAAGAAAACGCCTGCAGCGGGTGGCAGTAGAGACAGATTGGGATCAACAGGATCGACAGATTCGACGAGAACAGCAGTGCTACATCAGGTGCGAGCAAACAAACTGGAATGGAGGTGAAAATTGATTGGTTGATTAGAACAGTAAGGAAGATAAAAGATGAAGTAGCATGTAAAAATGAAATTAAGACGATGATTGCAAAAAATTCATTCATTCGGGAAGAGTTGAAAACTTTTAGGCGTAAATTTGAAGAAGTGAAAAGGAATATGCAGGAGAAAATCAATGGAATATCAGGACATGGATTAGGAAGCTACAGTGCGGCAGTAAAAAATAAGAAGAAAGAAAGCATTTTAATTATCCAACCGTTAAAGGAACAAGAGAGTAAAACTACCAAGAAATTAGTAAAAGAAAAAATAGATATTAAGAAGATGGAGGTAGGAATAACAAAATTGAGGAAAGGAAGTAAAGGTTCGGTCATTCTGGGATGTGAGAGCGAGGGAGAAATGGAAAAACTGAAAGATACAGTACGCGAGAAGCTAGGTGAAGACTTCAAGATCATAGAACTGAAAAAAATAAGACCGAAAATAAAAGTTGTAAATGTTGGAGAAGAAGAAATACAGCTAAAAGATGAAATCTTAATTGATACGATCAAGAAGCAGAATACAATCGACGGCAGAGAAGATGAAGAATTTGGCATAAAAATTGTGAAGAGAATTGCTAAGGGCGATTCCTTAATACTAGAAATAGAAATGACTCATGAGCTAATACTAAGAAGAGAGAAAATAAATATCGGATGGAGGAAGTGTCATGTGTTCAATCATTACAGTGTTAAGAGATGTTTTAAATGCTGGGGTTACTACTATATTGCCAAAAATTGTACGCGGCAGGAAACATGTCATAAATGTATTGGGAATCACAGAGCAGGCGAGTGTAAGGCAAAAAAGATGAGATGTGTAAATTGTATGCACAAGAATAAAACATACAATTTAAACATACAAAGATAAATGACGAACACGATGCTTTAAGTAGAAAATGTTCGACTTTCATCAGAGCGTTGGAGGAGGAGAAGAAGAGAACTGGCTGGGAGTCTACCCTCTAAATAGCAATTACGGAAGGAGTCAATTGTATACACGAATACGCAAAGTCTTATGGCGAACAAAGACGAAATTCAAGATTACATGAAGGGGATGAATCTGGCAATCATGGCGTTATCGGAGACCAGACTCGTCCCTGAAATCGAAGATGAATTAAATGTGCCGGGATATGATTTAGTTAGATGCGATGGAGAAAACAGAAACACAGGAGGCGTTGTGATTTATATAAGAAAGGATATCAAATATCAGGTAATAACGAAGAAGAAGATAGAATCTAACTGCTGGTGCGTTGCGGTTGAGATGAGAGATAATATATACAAAGGCGTGATTATAGTTGTGTACCATTCACCGAGTGCTTCAGATGGCGATTTTATAAAATTTCTAGAGGATATAGTGGATCTTCTAGTAACGAAAGGTCAATGTATTATGACTATGCTAGGTAACTTTAATGTAGATTTAATGACGGATATGTTTTACGCGAAAAAATTAATAAATGAAATGTCATGCTTGGACATAAAGCAATATGTAGATAAGCCAACGAGGATCACAAAAAACAGTCAAACTTTGATAGATTAAGTTTTCGCAAATAAACTGTAGATAAACTGTAGAGTATACGATAAGCCAAAAGTCAGATCATTCATGGATAAGCGTTGAAATTAATATAAGTAATAATAAGGTAAAATATAGAGAATTTATTAGTAGGGATTTCAACAAATTTCAAATAAATGAATTTTTATACGAAATAGGGAAAAGATTGGAACAAAGAGGTAATTTAGATGTAAATGAAAGAGCAGAGAAGTTTGTTCAGAATATGGTCGCGGCATTAGATATCATAGCACCAAAGAAAAAGTCCCAAAGTTATGGGAAGGGAAAAAAATGGTATTCGGATGATATAAGATTAGCTACAAATAAAAGAGATGAAGCATATGTGAGAGCGATATATACGTGCAATGAACAAGATTGGCTGCAGTTCAAAATTGAAAGAAATACGGTAGTTAAATTAATTAGAAATAAAAAAAAGAATACTATGAAAAAATAATAGATAATAATAAAAATGATCCTGTTCTAATGTGGAAAACCTTAAAAGAAGTCATAAGAGGAGAGACTATGGGTTCAAGAGAAATTAATATAGATTTTGAAATATTAGAGAATGTAAATAGGTGAATGTACTTTAGCGAATAAATTTAATATATTTTATATACAGAGTATTAAGGAAATAATAGAATCTATAAGAAAAAATGACAGTAAAAGTATAAAAACTATCTTTGTTATAGAAAACAGAGGCATAATTGAAAATTTCGAATGCATAAATGTACAGAAATTAGAAAAAATTGTTATGGCGTTATCACAGAAGAAGGGAACAGATGAGGAGATATCTAGCGATATATTAAAAATAAGTTTTCAAGTGATAAAAGATGAATTATTAAGAGTAATAAATGAGTCATTAACAAACGGTATATGTCCGGAGGGATGGAAAACATTTACGATAATACCGATAATTCCTAAGATAGAAAAACCAAAGAAAGCCTGTGAATATAGACCAATTAATATATTACCAATTTATGAGAAGGTTTTAGAATTAGTTGTAAAGGAATAAATTGAAAAGTACTTGCATAGTAATGATATTATAACGGAACATCAATCGGGATTTAGAAAATATCATTCGTATGAAACAGCGATACAAAGTGTCATTGATGATTGGAAGTTGATAATTAGTGAGGGAAAAATGATAGGAGTAATATTCTTGGACTTAAAACGGGCATTTGAAACGATAGATAGAAAAAGATTACTGGGAAAATTAGATCAATATGGAATGAGAAGGAGTGGTATTGGAGTGGTTTAAATCATATCTAAGCAATAGAACACAACAAGTTAGATTTAATAATGAATGGTCAAAGTGTATCAAAACAGAATATGTAGTTCCGCAAGGATCGGTACTAGGGCCTTTACTGTTTATAATTTATAAACGATTTAGTAGAATTGTCCAGAAGAATGCAATATAAAAATGTTTGCAGATGATACTTTAGTATATATAAGTGGGGAAAGTAGTGCGGAATTAGAGATGAAAATGAACATGATACTTAGCATAGTAGAAGAGTGGATGAGTGTAAATAAGTTGAAAATGAATGCAAATAAAACAAAACAATACATGATAATCAGAAGTGTAAGAAAGGAGCAAAAAGGTAATATTACATTGAGATGCTCGAACGGAATTAAGTTGGAACGCGTCGAAAAAATAAAATATCTTGACGTAATTATCGATGATAAGCTCCAATTTAAAGATCACTGTGATTATATGCTAAAGAAAATAGGAAAAAAGACTAGTTTTTAAATAGAATAGGTAACTTTGTATCAGCGTACACTAGATGTACATAAGTCGATCATAGCACCTCACTTTGAGTACTGTGCTACGCTATTAATTGAAATGGGAGAAACGCAATTGAGCAAACTTCAAAGTAGCT